ACAACACTTTCAGCTCCCTGGGGCACACACTGCCGCTGGGGAGGAAGGATGGCACCATCAGCTCCCTGGGACACACACTGCCGCTGGGGAGGAAGGACGACACCTTCAGCTCCCTGGGACATACACTGCCGCTGGGGAGGAAGGACGACACATTCAGCTCCCTGGGACATACACTGCCGCTGGGGAGAAAGGACAGCACCTTCGGCTCCATGGGACACACACTGCCGCTGGGGAGGAAGGGCGGCACCTTCAGCTCCCTGTAACTCACACTGCCGCTGGGGAGGAAGGACAACACCCTCAGCTCCCTGGGACTTGCGGGTCTCTCCCCCTAGGCCAAATCTGCTAGGAATTGCAGGTATTCTCCTATTATTTTCTGACGTGCTGTACGGATCTCTCCGAGGGGTTGGGTCCATAGACAGACAGCACTGCATTAACCTCTCTGTCAAACTGCTCCTGAGTGTAGGCAGGTGACACACTTGCTCTGCCGAAGTTGGTTCCTTTTGTAGATAAGGTCACTGTACGGGTACTAGCGTTGCCCTCAATTTGTAATCCAGGAACTGGTGTTGTCTTGTAGCTGTCCTTCTGGGCTGTGGAAATGATCCCGTCGCTTGCCACGAATTGTAATGGACCGTTTTGCCCACAAGAGGTTAAAAACCGTTTAGGCGATATTCCCCTTTTTCAGATGTACAGACAGCTACTGCAAGCACCAATCTCCCGAACTGCAAACCCACAAATTCACCAACTCCCGAACTGCAAGCAAGGTGTAGATACGAATATCCATTTTGCTATCTATCCTAGCTGTTCATATAAGGGTTAATGTGAACAAGAATAAATTTGGAATTGCATCTTCGATTCTGGGAAGAATTTATCTAATATCATTTACGAGAATGACCATACTGTTTTCGAAATGTTCTTGTTAATTTTCCAAGATTTTGGTATTTGTAAATATCTTGTTTTGATCAAATATACATGCGTTATATAACGTAGAATTCTAATAAGAAACAGCTGCTCATAACTTGTGAAAAACAATGTCATTTTCACGCCCATATACTCATTTTTCCCCCTCCCATCCTGCTATGAAAATTATTAATATAACTGACGGATGAATAACAATTTAATTGGTTATTGAACACGTCTCTGCTATTCATTTCCAATTTCCAGAGCTTTGAATGAGTTGGCAAATATCCATCATCCACAAAGGGCCTGGGCTGATTTTATCCCCAACACAAGGGAATACTCGAAACTCCCGAACTGCATACCAAGTAGCACTCCAAACTCCCGAACTGGAGACACACGTATAGCTGTTAGCAGACAAACAGGAAAAGCACCCAAGCGGCTTACACTCCTGGCAATCAGTCTCTAACAGCATACAGTAAATCCACCCAAAGACACTTTATTTTGAGGGTCAAGCAGAATCTGGTTTACTGGGGCTAACTGCCCGGCTTTTATGCAGGTCTCCCACCTGGTGGACACTCCCCTAGGGGACCAGATGGGAGACTGAGACACAAAGGGTACAAGAACCAATCACAGACTTACACATTTCAACCATCCCACAATGCATTACAATCCCTCCTCTCTGTCCTGGAGATAATTGGGAAGTAATCCAATTATCTCCAAGGACAGAGGCAAAACTCCATTAACCACATGGTATTAAAAAGACAGTAAAATACATAAAATTACATACAGTTACATTTACTTCATAAAACATAGACATTGTACATGTCTCCAGATAGCTTAGATCTGAGCGCACATTACTACCGAATGGCGCTCAGATCACATACATACATATCAATCGCCATGGAGCCAAAGTCTTTCACATAGTCTTTCGTTACACGGTTAAATTACCGAATTAACAGTCATTCGGTTCTGCTATCGAATGGCAAGGTAAGGAGGCTGGCGGCTCAGCGATGTTCGCGCCAATAAGGGTCCGCTTTCAGTTCCATAGTTTGGGCGCTGAACACCGCTGGCTGTTCGGGAGGTAAAATGGCTGCTGCAGACGAACAAAGGCCACCCAGCTTCCATCAATTAAGCTGCGGTTAACTGCAGCTTCTGGGTGGTCAATTGACGGCACACTCCAGTTCCCAGGTGGTCCATCATTCGGTAGTTTGTTCGGTAGATTGAATCTACCGAACACCCCGGCAGAAAGGCACAAATAAACCTTTCAGTAGGGGAAATAACAGGGCTGAACTGAAGGGCCATAGTCTAAAGGGAGCAGGCGAGCAACCAAGCTTCTCCAGTGCATAGTGGCGATTTTGGTTCCGCCAGACTTACCATATGCTAGGCTTACCACAGGAACATGAACAAGCTCCCGAACAAAGGATTCTAACGAATACGTGAGTACACAAATTGTATTGAAGAAAAAACTCCCAAATGAAGAAGGGAAAGGTCTATCTCCCATTGCCTCTAGGTTCTGTAGGGGGAATATACAAGGTTTCTGATTTTATCAATGGAGCCATAAACCTCAGCATTAATTTTTGATTATAAGCAGATCCAAATCACTAATTTTGAATCTGACCGAGTTAGTTAAGTGATGCTGCCATGATTAGCCAGGAAACAAGGTTTAAGTTTATGTTGGCCGCAAAAAAAAAAAAAAGAACATTTATATTTTCATAGAAACTCAAGTTTATTTTGAAAAGTACAGTATATATATAAAAAAAGCATCGCCCTCTTCTAAACCCCAGCACCCTCCTCTACTAAACCCTAGCCCCCCCTCTACACACCCCAGTTCCATCCTCTTTACTTAACCCCAGTCCCCCCCTCTATAATAAATCTCAGTCTCCCCCTCTGTACTAAATCCCAGTCCCCCCCTCTATAATAAATCCCAGTCCCCCCTGCTATACTAAATCCCAGCACCCTCTACTAAACATCGGTGTCACATCTTGCCTTGTTCTGCGGATCAGTCTGGTGATGGCTTCTGGTATCCAGTACTCTTTTTACAATTCTTGTTTAGTTTTTCTTGTTTTTTTGGTTTTCTATTATATGTCTGGTTTTTTTTATGCTGGGTTTTTCTGGGTTCATTCCTGTAATCCGTCCCTGGAATTCCCAGTGTCCAGGTTTCCCTAGTGGTTGTCCTAGAGTGCGTTCCTGATTCAAGTTTCTTCTGGTTTTTGACTTTGGCTTTGATTTTGACTTCCCTGTATTCTGGTATCCCTGACTTCTGGCTTTCCCTTATCGTTGTGTCTCTTTCTGTATCCCCTGACCTCGGCAAGTATCCTGACTACTCTCTGGTACGTTAAGTCCGGCCATTCTAAGGCCCGGTAATACATTACCTATTAGTCATCTGTGTGACACAATTCTATGTGCTGGATCAACTAGTAATCCTGACATTACGACATGGCCATAGATCCTGTAGAATTGTGTCAGCACATAGCTGCTTGCGAGAGAAAGCTAGTGGAGAATGATCACCATATGGATCAGTTTTCCCAGGCTTTCAGTACGCTCCTTACTCGAACAGCGCATCTGCAACCTGTGGCTTCTCCAACTGTGTCACCTCCGCCTAAGGTACATCCTGTAGTACATAAGGCACCTACTATCTCCCTATCTCCTCCCCTGCATTTTGATGGTAATATTCAAGAATGCTGGGGATTCATTAACCAAATTGAGTATCATTTTGAGGCCTCACCAGGATCTTTTCCCACTGACAGAGCTAAAATTGGTTACCTGATGAACCAACTTAAAGGTAAAGCTTTAGCTTGGGCCAATCCGTTATGGGAGAGTAATAGGAGCATTGCACACAACTACCAGGAATTCCTTGCAGAATTTAAACTTATGTTTGAACCATTAGGCAGGGAGGATGACGCCTCCACTGCCCTAATGCATAGTAGACAAGGGAACCGGTCTATCTCAGAGTATGCCATAGAATTTCGCACCTTGGCTTCCGAGGTAGACTGGACTAACAGCAGATTAATCTCAGCATTTAAGAAGGGATTATCTGAGACTATGTTGGATGAGATTGCTGCCAAAGGACTACCCAAAAAACTCAATGAGTTTATTATGTTTATTATGCTAATTGATAATAGACTTAAAACCCAGCATAAAGAAAACCAGACAGAATAGAAAACCAAAAAACCAAGAAAAACTAAACAAGAATTGTAAAAAGATTACTGGATACCAGAAGCCATCACCAGACTGATTCGCAGAACAAGGCAAGATGTGACACTCGGCCCCTGTTTAAAAAAACGAAACAAAAAACCCAATATTAGCCAACAAGCAGACTACACTCATATTGCCGCTACCAGTATGCGACTCCAGAGTCCAGCCTCTGGTGTACCCCCAATGGTCAGCACTCTTTGCCAAAACGGATCCTCCCGATACTCCTTGAAATCCTGTGAAGGTGGAGCATGTTGACGTCACATCGGAATGTGATGTGGCGTTCCGTGCCTCCGTGCACCTCCAGGTTCTCCACTGTGCAGTTGCGACTATCGCAACACTGACCAACACACACTCACTGACAGATACACGCACTGACAGACACACACATTTGCACATTCTTGCACACACTCACAAATCAATTTATTTATTGCTACCTAAATTTGGTTGCTGGTGTGGGGCCTCTCCCTGGGGGCCAGTGGGGATCTTCTCTCTGGAGATCTCCCTCCTGCTCCTCACTGCTCCCTCACGCGCGCAGTTTACTGATGCCGGGCCTGAATGACATCTGATTCCAGCAACCGGCATCACCACAGAGGGCACATGCAAGGGAGCAGTGAGGAGCAGGAAGAGCAGACTGAGCTCCCTAGCTGCTGAAAGCATCCTCTCCCTCCAGCCGGCTAAATTTTAGCAGACTAGGCACCAGCAATGTGGGGAGAGCAGGTGCCTTCTCTGCCTTAACAGTAAGCATGTCAAACTCACAGCTCACTGGGCAGCAAAGCTATTCATTGTGGGTAGCGAGTTTGACATGCTTGATGTAAGCTATTGTATTGATGCTGCACGTGTTTTTTGTTTTAATGTAGGTAAAGCATAAATTAGGAAAGCATTCCTTTAGACAACTGGATATCAACTGTTGAAAAGAGACTTTTCATCTGATCTGCAAACTGTGATGGAACATTCTACAGAGTTAGTTTGATACTTCTGTATCAAATTAACTCTGTAGAATGTTTCATCACAGTTTGCAGATCAGATGAAAAGTCTCTGAACAGACTTAAAAAGAAATAAATGATTAACACTAACATACATATACATTCCTAAATATTAACAAAGAAGAAAACAGACAATGAAAAGTTATTGAACAGTTACGAGTATATTGAAATCGAGAGAGTACTTATAAATGTATAGCACATAAAGTAATAATACGAAAGGATAGTATTATGAAGAGAACTATTACATTAAGTGCTACACATATGAGAAGTAAAGGAGGTAGATAAAATATGAAGTTGATAAAATAAGGATCATGTATACTTAATACCTCAAAGATTGAGTTCAATAGTATTTCATAGATTTACTAGAATGAGTAATTTGTTGATATCGAGGTGAAGTAAAACAAACTATGGTAACTAAAAGAAGAAAACTAAGGAAGGATCATTTATATTGATTTATTTTAAATAATAGTATACATTGAGAATACCTTGAATATAAGAGTTTAGAAATCCAAGAGGAAGAGATTAACCCCTTAAGGACGGAGGGTGTAATATGCCGTCTTTGGGGACCTGGTCCTAAACGCCGGCAGCACCATAGTATGTCCGCGCTGTCCTTAGTACTAACCTGATTGCTGGTGATCGCCAGCTGGCAATCGCTGTGGGGGGACTTGCATGGCATTCCAGGGAGTTCCCCTGAGGCTGATCCGGCCCTCCTGGGTCATGTGATCGCAATGATGTCGCGATCACATGGACAGAATAGCTGTCCACAGCAGTGCCTGCAGGAGGCCTGCCTGGAATGACAGGCAGTTCCCACAGTGCCTGTAATAAAGTAATTTTTTTTTTTTTTTTAAACAATGTAAAAGTAAATTATATATACTAAGATCATATTATATATATATATATATATATATATATATATATACACACATACATACATATATGTGTGTATTATATATATGATCAAAGTACATACACATACAGTTGCAAGAAAAAGTATGTGAACCCTTTGGAATGATATGGATTCCTGCACAAATTGGTCATAAAATGTGATCTGATCATCATCTAAGTCACAGCAAGAGATAATCACAGTCTGCTTAAACTAATAACACACAAAGAATGAAATGTTGCCATGTTTTTATTGAACACACCATGTAAACATTCACAGTGCAGGTGGAAAAAGTATGTGAACCCTTGGATTTAATAACTGGTTGAACCTCCTTTGGCAGCAATAACTTCAACCAAACGTTTCCTGTAGTTGCAGATCAGACGTGCACAACGGTCAGGAGTAATTCTTGACAATTCCTCTTTACAGAACTGTTTCAGTTCAGCAATATTCTTGGGATGTCTGGTGTGAATCGCTTTCTTGAGGTCATGCCACAGCATCTCAATCGGGTTGAGGTCAGGACTTTGACTGGGCCACTTCAGAAGGCGTATTTTCTTACTTCTATGCTTTGGGTCATTGTCCTGCTAAAACACCCATTTTCTGTTGAGCTTCAGCTGGTAGACAGATGGCCTTAAACTCCTGCAAAATGTCTTGATAAACTTGGGAATTCCTTTTTCCTTCGATGATAGCAATCCGTTCAGGCTCTGATGCAGCAAAGCAGCCCCAAACCATGATGCCCCAACAACATACTTCACAGTTGGGATGAGGTTTTGATGTTGGTGTGCTGTGCCTTTTTTTCGCCACACATAGTATTGTGTGTTTCTTCCAAACAACTCAACTTTGGTTTCATCTGTCCACAGAATATTTTGCCAGTACTGCTGTGGAACATCCAGGTGCTCTTGTGCAAACTGTAAACGTGCAGCAATGTTTTGTTTGGACAGCAGTGGCTTCCTCTGTGGTATCCTCCCATGAAATCCATTCTTGTTTAGTGTTTTACATATTGTAGATTCGCTAACAGGGATGTTAGCATTTGCCAGTGACTTTTGTAAGTCTTTAGCTGACACTCTAGGATTCTTCTTCACCTCATTGAGCAGTCTGCGCTGTGCTCTTGCAGTCATCTTTACAGGATGGCCACTCCTAGGGAGAGTAGCAGCAGTGCTGAACTTTCTCCATTTATAGACAATTTGTCTTACCGTGGACTGATGAACAGCAAGGCTTTTGGAGATACTTTTATAACCCTTTCCAGCTTTATGCAAGTCAACAATTCTTAATCGTAGGTCTTCTGAGAGCTCTTTTGTGCGAGGCATCATTCACATCAGGCAATGCTTCTTGTGAAAAGCAAACCCAGAACTGGTGTGTGTTTTTTATAGGGAAGGGCAGCTGTAACCAACACCTCCAATCTCATCTCATTGATTGGACTCCAGTTGGCTGACATCTCACTCCAATTAGCTCTTGGAGATGTCATTAGTCTAGGGGTTCACATACTTTTCCACCTGCACTGTGAATGTTTACATGGTGTGTTCAATAAAAACATGGCAACATTTCATTCTTTGTGTGTTATTAGTTTAAGCAGCCTGTGATTGTCTTTTGTTGTGACTTAGATGATGATCAGATCACATTTTATGACCAATTTGTGCAGAAATCCATATCATTCCAAAGGGTTCACATACTTTTTCTTGCAACTGTATATACACATAATACTAATACTGGGGAAAAGTGCTGAATACTTTTAAGTGTATTTTAATATATTATTATATATATCAATATTAAAATACACTTAGAATGAAAAAAAGAGGGCAAAAATTATTATTATCTCGGGGTTTGGAATGTATCTGCTGTATGCAGAGGATTTCCAGCATCCCATATTCTTAATGCTATGTGTCAGAACGTCATTACTTGATGATGCTGTAGCTTCCCCAATACACAATGAATGACCTGAGAAGGAATGTGGATTGAGGCCTAGTCTGAGTCATAGTGTGCGTATGTATAGCATGAATTGTTTGGTGGTAAGAGGTTTTCCTTGAAGAGATAAAAGTGGGTAGTCAGGGTTTTTTGTAATCTGATTCTTAATTAGGTTGTCCAATCCTTGTACTGGACACTATTTGGAAAAAGTAGGCTAATATTTAATTTCTACTGAGGGGCCTGTCTGGCTAGTTTTGGTATGAGGGACTGCCAGAATATAATGGAAGTATTTTTGCTTAAGGCATGACTTAAGGTCAGATGCTTTCTACACAGAACTTTTTGGGGTCTCAAGAAACTGTAAAATGCCAAATATGCCGTTGACATGATTACCAGATTAGTGGGATTGTTGAAAGCGTTATTATCTAATAATTCATAGATCTTCCTAAAGATGTAACTGTCTATAGGAAGTCTTTTAAGGGGATTTTGATACTTTAGTCTCTGAATACCTTTCAGGACACTTTTGACCAGATATGAAGATACGATTGGAGTTTTGTTTGGGTATATAGTTAACATGTAATGTTGTATGCCTGTCAAGTAAAGTTTAATGGTATTGTATGCTAGTCTCAAAGAGATGTGGCAAAATGTTGTGAATACAACCATAGTTGCTACAGAAAAAACATGTATTACATTAAAGAACTTCCAAAATCGGCGATGACAGGTAAGTAGGGGTTACTGGGTTTAAATAGGATCAATAATCCCTCCCACAATTTCAGGCATATGCTTTCCACACATATATAGATACAATCTAACTCCAATTCTTTACTCCAATCTTAAAAGGATAATCTAACAATCTAATAATTGTAATCTAATAATTTAACCTTGATTTAATAAAGAATTGGAGTTTTGGAGAATTGGACAATTGGAGTGCAGCCAACTTCATTTTCTATTTGTACATCATGGAGCCCAGGCGTTATGCACCCTGCAGCAACAAATATTTAAAGTGTGAGTGCAAGGGACTTTGTGAATATATATATATATATATATATATATATAGATATAGATATATATATATATAGATATATATATATAGATAGATAGATAGATAGATAGATATATATCTATATGTGTGTGTGTGTGCTCGGAATTTGTAAAACGTAATGGAATGTAGAAGGAGATGCAAAGTTGGTTCATGTGCCGAAACCAACGTACGAGTAGGCCTGTAATGAAAGAGGGCCCACAAAGGGTGAAATGTATATATAGATGGGTGTAGGTGGGTTGGGACAAACAGCTTGAACGTTAAAGGTGAGTAGAGGGTTTATGGGGGACATAACTCCTCCCACAAATACAGGCCTAATGGCCTTTTAACTTGTTCTCGGATTTCTAATACGTAATGGAATGTAGAAGGAGATGCAAAGTTGGTTGAGGTGTGCCGAAACCAACGTACGAGTAGGCCTATAATAAAAAGAAGGCAAAAAGAGGATTCAAAGTAAACACACTTAATTGCTAATTATACCGCAAGGTTACTGAAGGCTCGTCTGAGCTCCCTCTCTGGTTGGTGGTGTGACGAAACTAACCTCTCCACTGGGCACTGGAGAAGACTAATTGCCAGCCTCTTGCCATGTGACTATGGCCCCTGGGAGACTTTGCCAGTTAAAAACACTATTTGGACTTATTGGTGTATAAAAGACTGTTCTGGCCCTTTAATTAGAACTGGCACAATTCTGCACCTTTGATTCCATGGGAGAATGTGCCTTCTCTTGTCCCATTGTTCTCCAACAGGGCGTTGTCCCAGGGACACTGCCAGACCAGTTTATACTGGCTGCTTTGTCCCTCCTCAATCTCTATATCAGCCCTTGCTAAACTTAAACCCCATGGTGATTTGACTGTGTTCGTGGCATCAGATCCAAGCTATCTGGGGATAGGTTGAATGTGGGGGTTCTGTTCAATATGATAGGAATTATGTATGTTTGTGTATTTTTTCTTTTGTTGTGAATAGATATATTTTCTGTACCTGGAGATAATTGGCTTACCACACCCAAGCCATGCTTGCAGTCGGTCAAGGTCAAAAAGGACTTCCAGCTAACTTTTTAACCACTGAAAGGAATTGTATGATTTTTAAGTATGTTTGTATTTGGAGTATGCTGATTCTGAAAATGTAAGTTTATGTGAATTTGATTTGTACTTTTAGAGTTATGAATATTGGGTAAAACCGTGTATTTTCCTGGCTGTGATAATTACTTTAGCCCATTGTGTTCAGTAATTATATCACAGGCAGAG